CCCATGCAGATATGCAGACAACACAATCTAAAATCAATATGCCCAGAAAATAATCAGTTTTTCCACAAGGGGGAGCCTATATGTTTGTATACCCATAAATGCCTATAATAAAACAGCCTAAAGATTAACCCAGGGCCTGCTTGTTTTCCCATAACGAATATCCAAAATGAGGTAAACTCACCTCATGGGGCCAGCCCAGCGCAGCAAAAGGGAAGAGGCCAGAGGAGAACCAGGTATCTAAGACATCCGCATCTAATAAAATGAAAAAGCAAGTGTAAAATCTTATTCGAAATACAAGCCTTGGGGAACAAAAAGAAGAATAGCTTAAAATAGTCAGAGCTTGAGATAAAAGTAATGCTTGGATTTTTATTTCAACTCTTAGAATTTCTCTGTTGTATTGTCAGTGACCGTGCTGGTTTAGAAATTCTCGGCATTGTAGACAGAAAGCTCTGTTTTTATATTGTTACCGTCCCTTCCAAAAGTTCAAGTTATCTGCCTCCTGTTGCCTCACCTCTCACCAGCACCAGATCCTTTTCTGATTTTCCCAGCATGCCTGCTGCTTTTCTCCGAGCTTCTGCTTCTGTTCTACCCACTACCCAGGATCCATCACTCTCCTCCTGTTACAATCCAGGACAAAAATTATTAAGTTCAGATGAAATTGTGAGCAAGGCTGGAAGAGGTAGAGACTCACCCTGTCCAGCAACCATGTTGTGCTATAGTACATAGTTGGTACAGAACCTGATAGACCAACACTCACCTCTTCAATGCCAGGTGACCCAGAAATAGTAACTCGATAGGCTGGAATCTGATGACCCCACCAGAGCTGGCGAGAAATACACCAGTCGCTATGAAGGAAAACATCAAGTAAGACTGTCAAGATTTAAGAACATAAAAATCAACTGGTAGATTGAACTGATAAAGAGAACCAGTGTGATATAGTATCTTTGATCAGCTCTCCGATGCCTTGTGTTGAGTCTCAGATCTAGCAGATTTTGTAAAAATTAATTAATAATAATAATAATAAACTTTATTTATACCCTGCCACCATCTCCCCAGTGGGAACTCGGAGTGGCTTACATGAGGGACAACATATTACAGCAAAATAAAACCAAAACATAAACAACAAGCAACATCATCAAAATTACATAGAAAAAAATATGAATACAGTAATAAAATAACATTCCAATAAACACAATCACGATAACAGTGGGCGGGCCACATGTACAAAATAAAACAATTTAAAAACTCTAATGAGATAAAAAAATTGTTTAGCTGCAATTGTTTAGCTGCAAAGTTTAGCTGCAAGTTATTTGCAGCTAAACTTCCCATTTGAAGGGCGGGTACTCTAGTGGCAAAAGCGTTGAGGGGTGCAGTAATGTCATGTTGTGCACCTACTCGCCAAAAGCGCAGCGGAAGAGCCAGGTTTTAAGGTTCTTTTTTAACATTTCTAGATCGAAGGGCCCGGGTTGGTACATGGAGAGAGATACGGTCATGAAGGTAGGCGGGTCCCAAACTGTTTAGGGCTTTGTAGGTGATAACCTGTTTCTTGAATTGGGGCTGGAAAATAAACGGCAGCCAGTGGAGCTCCTTAAACATGGGAGTCGACCGCTCCCTATAACTAGCCCCAGTTATTAATCTGGCTGCCGAACGTTGGACAAGTTGTAGTTTCCGGGCCGTCTTCAAGGGTAGCCCCACGTAGAGTACGCTGCAGTAATCCAGTCTTGAGGTAACTAAGGTGTGGACCACCATGGTCAAATTAGACTTCACGAGGTATGGTCGCAGCTGGTGCACAAGTTTTAACTGTGCAAAGGCCCTCCCGGCCACCGCCAACACCTGCGCATCAAGTGTCAGCACTGAGTCCAGGAGGACCCCAAAGCTGCGGATCCTGCTTTCAGAGAGGCTTCTGAGTAAGCCTGCAGAAGTATTGGTACTATGGTAGAAAATAATGTTTTATTTGTTGTGTTGAGCTTTCCCCTTGAATAACTGTAAACAATAACTGTTTTATTGTTTTTATTGCTTTTGTTGTGTTTTATATTGTTTTAATGTTTTAATCTGTATTATGATATTATGTGTACTGATTAGTTGGAAACCGCCTTGAGTCGCCGACTGGTTGAGAAAGGCAGTATACAAATACAAATAAATAAAGAATAAATAAATAATAACTAAACATGTATTTTGGGAGATCCAGGTTCAAATTCTCACTAACACTATGAAACTCACAGGGTGACTTTAATCTCTCAGCCCCTGGCCTACCTCACAAGTGATGATGAGAAAACACGTTTCTTACCTTGAACTCCCTGAATAAACTACCAAGTACACTCAAGGCAGCTAACAACACTGGTAGCTTCTGGCTTACTGTCCCCACAGTATAGTGGACAGGAGTGCAAGACAGGGGAAAAAGAGAGATGACCTCAGGTTCCTTCTGAGCCATGCTGAATACTGGATGGCTTTGAACAACTCACTATTCACCTTTTCCAAAGACCTCAAAGAGCTATTGTAAAGATAATATATATAAAGCAATTCATGTGAAATAATGGGTAATGGGAAGAAGGACAGAGACTATAAGTTTTTTGGATTGCAGTTCTCAGTATTTCCCTGGCAGTTATCTTAACAAGTAATTGTCTCAGATTTTTTTGAGTGTGTGTTTACTCTGGCCAAGACCCTGGAGACACAAAATGTACATGCTACATACACACAACTGTATAATAATTACAACTGCAATATGCTGGCAACTACTACACAAAAACTCTTTTCCAGGACAGGTTTAGATAGCCACACCAGTCGGAATAAACAATATTATGTTAATCAACCAAGATCAAAAGTGAAAGAGGAGAAACTGAAAAACTGTTTGAACTAGCCCTTTGCAACAGGACTGGTCCATTAAAGGGTAAGCATTCAGATCAAAATATTAAAAAGATGGGGAGAGAGGCGGGACTACCTTATTCTTACCCGGTACTCAAGAGCCAAGTCTTCCAGGTCTTCTCATGAAATTCAGGCATTAACTTCAAGCATCCAGATTCCACAGCCTGAATGAAGAAACAAATAAAACAGAGGCTAACTCAATGCAGGACTATTCAAAATCTTGGAAGGAGGAATGATTCCATATGAATGTTTGAAATAAACATAATTTTTTGTGTGTCGGGAGCACACAAAATTAGTTCTTCTTTTAATCATTACATGTAGCCCGCCCATTGTCATTGTGTTTGTGCTTATTGTAATTTTATATTGTTATGTATTCACATGTTTTATGTAATTATGATGTTGTTGTTTATTGTTTGCATTTTCGGTTTCCGTTTTTTTATTGTAATCGTTGAGGCTTGGCCTCATGTAAGCCGCTCCAAGTCCCCATCGGGGAGATGGTGACGGGGTATAAATAACGTTTATTATTATTTATTATTATATTATAACTTGAGAAACTGCAAGTCGCTTCTGGTGTAAGAGAATTGGCCATCTGCAAGGACATTGTCCAGGGGACACCCGGATGTTTTACCATCCTGTGGAAGGCTTCTCTCATGTCCCCGCATGAGAAGCTGGAGCTGACAGATGGGAGCTCACCCCTCTCCCCAGATTTGAACCGCTGACCTTTTGGTCAGCAGTCCTATCAGCACAAGGGTTTAACCCACTGCGCCACTCCAGCAGGAGCTCCACTAATAAACATAATGATAATGATAATATTTTGTAGTATAGTTCCCATAATCCCTGCATCCCAAACTAAAATATCAGATGGAAGATTCTGGTAGCTATAATCAAAACAACAAGTGAAATCCTTTCACGTTTTCAGATACTTACATTCCACCTAGAAATACAACATCTAGCATGTTTGCTCCTTAAAGCTATAGTACAAAACATTATCATTATCATGAGGAGGGAGTAAGCTTTTTTTATGCTGCCCTGGAGACCAGGACGCGGAACAATGGCTTCAAACTACTAGAAAGGTGATTCCACCTGAACATTAGGTGAGAGCTGTTCAGCAGTGGAACTCTCTGTGACAGAGTATAGTGGAGGGTCCTTCTTTGGAGGCTTTTAAGCAGAGGCTGGATGGCCATCTGTCAGGGGTGCTTTGATTGCGATTGTCCTGCTTCTTGGCAGGGGGTTGGACTGGATGGCTCATGAGGTCTCTTCCAACTTTATGATTCTATGAAATCAAACAATAGATTCCTGCAATCTTAACATGTGCAAGCATCCCCCAATACTTTAATTTTGCTTCATTGTTAAAACCATGCCTTCTGGAGGCTCAGTCAAAGAAAGACAGAAAAAAATTAAATATTCAGAGAATTACCTCTAAGGCCTTCTGAGCCATTGCTTCACACCGGACAAACCACTGGTTCTTTAGGAGAATTTCAATCACATCCCCCGAACGACTGTGACGACAGAAAGAAAAGGACAAAGGAAATCAGTCTATATATCCTAGGCTGCATTCCAGTTTGCAAAAGCCATGTGCCTCTCAAGCTGGAGTGGGAGTCAATGTTGAATCCAGCCCTTCTGGGGTCTTAATATGGTCCCTTGAAGTTCTTCCAATGGGCACATCCCCTTCTTCACTACACAATCACTGAGTGTTTCCCAGATTTAGTATGCCCTCTCTTTCTAAAAAGAGGGGGCATACTAAATGTCTCTTTTCAAGATTAAATACTGGAAGAAAGAACTTGAAGCTAAAAATATGCAAAGATTTTGGGCCTCATTCTTCTCCTGCTGCTGCGTATTGCAAGAATGAGGCAACTGGGAATTTCTTCAAAATGGGATGTGGATCTTGGGATAAAATGTTCACCATGCTTGCTGTATCGTGTTACAACATTTGACATTTGCACTCATTATAAAGTGCCAACAAAAAATGGATGCCTGATCTAAGAAGCATGCAGTCTGATGACGGTCCACAAAGGAAGATATCCTGAAATGCACCGATTTATTTGCAGAGGAATTTATTTCCCACTGTTCACCAAACATAACTTTTTACACATGTACCAGTTTCTCATTTTCATATCAGTAGAAATATTAATCAGATACAGAAAAAAAGTGTTAAAATTTATATAAATAATATTTGACTCTGGTGCAATTTTCATACAATTTTTCATGCATTTTTTCTTTCCCCTCTTTGCTAAGAAGGCTGTGAAATTAAAGACTCCTATCAACATTAAAATAGTATCAATGGATTTTGGCATCCGCAAAGGGTCCTGGAACCAAATTCCAGATAATGCCAAATACCCACTGTATCTAAATTCTGGATGCAATCTCTTTTTTCTTTTTCTTTTTTTGAAAAAAACAACAACCCATTAACAAGAACCTTACAAAGATCCCAGAACTGGCCTTCCTGGGCTTTTTCAGGTAGACAATGAAAATGCATCTACCAAACTCTTAACTGGTTTCTTATTAGTAGTACAATTTTATTAAGATTTGAAATGTTTTGTTGAATATATGAAGGGGGAGAAACAATATTAGCAATTATGCCCCTTCCAATGTTTTATTCATATCCCATCCTCTCTCCCAGAATAATAATAATAACAACAACAACAACAACAACTTTATTTGTATACCCCAGGGACTTGGGGAGGCTTACATACAGGACGAAAAGTCCAACAGACAAAAAAGTAAAACAATCCATTAAAGCAAAAACACCACTAAAACAGGAGCATCGTAAAATATAACAATCCAGATAAAACACAATTAAATGTAAGAGAAAAAAGAGCAGCGTTGAAGGGACTAAGGGCAGTTTACAGTGAGTAACAGTTAAAATAGTACATAGGTCAGTGGCTCTCAACCTTCCTAATGCCACGATCCCTTAATACAATTCCACAAGTTGTGGTGACCCCCAACCATAACATTATTTTCTTTGCTACTTCATAACTGTAATTTTGCTACAGTTATAAATCCATCATGTAAATATCTGATATGCAGGATGTATTTTCATTCACTGGACCAAATTTGGCAAAATACCGGTTGGGGGGGTTTGAATTTGTCATTTGGGAGTTGTAGTTGCTGGGATTTATAGTTCACCTACAATCAAAGAGCATTCTGAACTCTACCAATGATGGAATTGAACCAAATTTGATACACAGAACTCCCATGTCCAACAAAAAATACTGGAAGAAGTTGGTGAGCATCAACCTTGAGCTCTGGAGATGTAGCTCATCAACATCCAGGGAGCACTGTGGACTCAAACAATGATGGATCTGGACCAAACTTGGCAGGAATACTCAATATACCCAAATGTGAACACTGGTGGAGTTTGTGGAAAATAGACCTTGACATTTGGGAGTTGTAGTTGCTGGGATTTATAGTTCACCTACAATGAAAGAGCATTCTGAACACCAACAATGATAGAATTGGGCCAAACTTCCCACATAGAACCTCCATGACCAACAGAAAATACTGTGTTTTCTGATGGTCTTTAGAGAACCCCTCACAACCCCTCAGACCCCCCCCCCCCCCCCGGGTCCCGACCTTCAGATTGAGAAATGCTGACATAGGTCAAATTAACATAACTTAAAATAAAGTCATTGCAATTAATGAAAACATATAAGAACATAACATCAGTATCAAAAATAGTTGCTCTTGCTCGAATAAAAGCATTAAAATGTTAAAACCATCAATCTTGCTAAAATACCTCCATTTCAGACTGATCGTCTCCAAAGCCTGCTTCCAGAAGCAAATGTTAAGTTACTTTCTAAAAATCAACAAGGAGGGAGCCAATCTAATTTCCTTGGGAAGGGCATTCCAGAGCCAGGGAGCTAACACTGAGAAGGTCCTCTTTCTTGTTCCCTCCAGCCGTGCTTGTGACAGGGGTGGGACCAAGAGGAGGGCCTCCCCTGCGGACCTAAGGGCTTGAGCTGGTTCATAAGGAGGGATGCGGTCAAGCAAATAAGCAAAGGAGGAAAGACAGGAGAAGACAATGTAGTGTAAACTTTTGAGTACTTTCTGTACCATTACCTGCAAAGCGGAAGCACTAAGGGATGTTCTTTTGCCCCTCGGTAAAGATCTTTCTCCTTCAAAGCAGCCAACACCTTCTCTCGGGCCACAAACCTATTCAGGCCCTGAAAGAGAAACATCCGCTTGATTTATCATAGGGTCTTGGAGGCATCTCAAAAGGCTAACCGTTTTTCTGGGTTCACATTTGCTCTAACTTTAGTCACCCACTGCTCTAGTGATACTGTTGTCTAGATCAAGAAATTTCAAATTGGACCCTCTCACATTAGAAAGATAATCACTGTAGCAATGACTAATTCTCAATTTTCAGTAGAGCCTCCAAATTTGCTGTGTCGCATAACTGCATCCCAAAGATTGGTCCAGCTATGGTGAAAAAAGCATTTCTAGCTGTACATTACTCTGTTTCTATGTGCTTTACAGAATTCTTGTTATTATTATTATAATTTTGCTTCCTACATGTCTTCAAGTCATTTCTGACTCAAGCTGACCCTAAGACTTTATTGTGTCTTATGTAATGTAAAGAGATTTTCAATTGTTGTATTAGTTTCAACAATATATTTCAACAGTCCTATATTTAATTCTATTTTAATATTTATATGCTTTTGGTTTTAATATGCATATTGTATAATTTTAGTGTTAGCCACTTCTGAGTCTACTCTGAGAGAAAGAAGTAGGTTATAAATACTAATAATAATGCAAGCTAATTATAAGGTTTTCTTGGCAGGGTTTGGAGGAGGGTTGCCTTTACCTCCCTCTGAGGCTGAGAGAGTGTGACTTGACCAAAGTCAGCTAGAGGATTTCCTTGGCCAGACAGAGCCCCCAAAGTCATAGTGCTCCACTCAAATCTCTCCACCATGCAGTGAAAACATCTGGTCTGCCTTAAAGCAATGTATTATGCAATCTGAAAAAGAAAACTAAACCATCTAAATGCCTCATCAAAGGACATGCTTACCTGCAGCCATTCCCCACACTCTGCGGTCATTGTACCATCTTCTTCAATCACTGAAAGCAAAGGCAGTCTATGCCGATGAGCAAATTCATAGTCGGCATAGCTATGTGCTGGTGTCACTTTCACAGCTCCTGCAAAATAACATGAAGTATTGCAAATTGACTTTTCTAGCCAGAATCCTGTTACAACATTATGCCTACGCATAATGTTTGACACATTTGTGTAAGGAAGTATTCAATAACTTCAAATGTACTCAATTATCCATCTACCTGCAATGCAGTGGTACAGTTTAAAAGAATGGAAAATGTGTGGGTACAGCTCTGCCTACCAATTGCCATGATCAGAACAGCAACTGAAACAGTCACTGGAACCTTGCCACTGTGCTTCTGTTGTTTTAGTCAAGTTTATATAAGTGTGATTTTATGCTCTACTAGTATTGAGCAATAAGAACTCCGTGCCTGATGCTGCTGTAGAGCTCTCCATACTAAACTCCCATTTTCTGTGATAACGCAGGCAAAAGCATGTTTTCTCACCTGTACCCATCTCCTGCTCCACCAAGGGATCTGTAATGACAGGTATGAGGTGCCCAGTGAATGGATGGCAGAGCCTCTTCCCATGGAGATGCTGACAAAACAAAACAGAGAGAAAAAGTAATCAATACAGTTGTGGTCATATTTTCAAAAACTAAGAAAAGAGAAATCATTTCCTGGTTGTTGTTATTTTTTAATGTTTCCAACAATTTCATTAGCAAGAATGGCTTCATCATGATTCAAGAAGGTGCTGCTTTATCTGGCTAGTTAATGTGACTAAATACTATCCTCTATGGTTTGAGGCAGAGATTGCTTTTCTGTCCAACCTGGGATAAGAGGATAAGTGTGATTTTAATTGATGTTTTAATTTTTATGTTTTACTTGGTTTGGATNAAGTGTGGTAAATAAATAAATAAAAAGAGCTATTCTAATATATCTAAACCTTATTTATTCTGAAGCTTTGTATCCAGCTTTTCCTAAGACAACTAGGAGTTGGCACAGAATCATACTCTAGGTGGGACTACCAAGAATGTCCTTTAAAGAAAGACTATCAAATGGAACACTTCAGGGAGCTTCCACAGAAAAACTTAGCAGATGAACAGATTCAGATGAGAAGTTTTCAAGCTGCTCCTCCCAATAACTCCTCACCACTGGTTATTTGGCCTGGACTACTGGGAGTTGCAGTCCTATGCTATCTGAAGGGTCACACATTCCTAGCTCCGTTCCAAGCCAAATCAGGCCATGCCTAATAAAGTACAATTCTGAGCTCCAGGAAGAACTTGGATAAGTTACTTCTTGGATGACAATTTACAAAATGCCCAGTCAGGAAGTAGTACTGGCCAAACCAGTATGAGTTTAGGGACTGTAGCCTAAAAGGTAACATTACTAAGTTCTGTTTCCACATCAACCTGTCTTTCTGCCAGTAGACAGATCCCATAGTTCCCAAAGTCTCTACAACCTCATATCCTTTTTAAAAATCTGAGTTTCTACAATAGAAACTCAAAAACGTCTTCACATGTAGATTACAGAATCATAGAGTTGGGGAAGACCATAAGAGCCACCCAGTAAAACCCCCTGCATGAGAAGGAAGAATAAGGCAGAAAATACTTACTGCATACCGTGGGTCATCTGGGTGGACAGCAACTGCCACGTCTCCTAACATTGTCTCTGGGCGGGTTGTGGCCACAAGAAGCTCCTCACCTGAAGCAGAAGAGTCCGAGAAGCAAATTCCAGGTGGCAAAAATTGAAGACAACAAAACAATGTTAATTTTACTCGGGTTTCCTGGCATAGAGAAATGGCCATATTATGAGAAAGGTTAGTGTGGGTGGAAACTGCTGTCAATAAAAACTTGGTATTCCCTAAATAACATGTTTTTCTGTTTTAGTTCAAATTTTAATTAACTATATTTTTGTTATTTATATACTGCTTTTTTCTCTTAAAGAGACCCTAAGCAATGTACAGAAGGTGGCTTTTTTGTGTCTGGAGCGACTTGAGAAACTACAAGTCATTTCTGGTATGAGAGAATTGGTCATCTGCAAGGACGTTGCCCAGGGGACACCCAGATGTTTGACCATCCTATTGGAGGCTACTCTTGTGTCCCTGCATGAGAAGCTGGAGCTGACAGAATGGAGCTCACTCCACTCCCCAGATAAGAACCACTGACCTTTCGGTCAGCAGTCCTGCCAGCACAAGGGTTTAACCCATTGCACCACTGGATTATGAGAGGTAAAAACAATACAATATTTAGGATGCTCCTCCCTTACTAACATCTGGCAATGGAATTTCTATCATAAGACTGCTGGTTATTCCAACAGCTTCTAGGAGAAATCTAGAGGACATCATCAAAGCATGCAAGACGTTGGAAAGACTTATTTCCATCATGTACCAAATAAAGATCTTTTGCACCCAAAGAGGAGAAAGCCACAAAGAAATCTCATCCAGAAAAATTTTCAAACTTGCCACACTGTATGTCAGCTCTATTTACTTTGCAAGCTCATTGCAAGCATAAACATGAAAGCCTCACTGCCTTGAGTTTCTTGGAATTAAACAAGGTGAAAAGACGATTTTATGAATGTGTCTTGGGTATGAAAAAAAACCCCTCAGAAATGGAGTACATTAAGGCACCAAATCAAACAAGTAAGTACACAGCAGCTGGTCACTCAGCAAAATGAAATATACAATCATTACATTTAAGAGCAGGCTGTTCTCTCCTCTTGTGTGTTCTGAAGAAGTCCAGTCAGCATTGTTAACTCACCTTCCTCTCCTTCCACCTTATAAGCAAATGTCTCCAAGAGCCCAAATGGTACCTTGCCTGGAACACCAGGCACTGAGAGCTCTGTCCGTCCTTCAAGCTGCCTGTTCTCCACCTGCCAAAGAAACATGCTATGAAAAGTCACCCACCATCAACTACGTGCTTGGAAAAACTGTTTCTTTGAACTACAATTCCCAGAGTAGCCCAGTAGCCATGCTAATGGCAGATTCTAAGGCCTATAGACCAGAAAAGTACTGACCAAGTGCTGACCTTGACATTTATTGTCATTTTGTTTACCTCAATATCAGAGATTGCTGATCGCAGAGCACACGACCAGTTCACCAGGCGTCTGTCCCGATATACCAGGCCTTGCTCATGCAGTCGCACAAAGGCCTCAGTCACTGCCTGGGAGAATCTCTGCAGACAAAAATAATAGAGTGGTTACAGAGATTGTAATTCCATATGTTTTATACTCATGTNATATAAATAAAGTTTATTATTATATGAAAAAAATCTATTCTTCTCCTGAATTAAAACAAACAACTTGGAAAACATGAGGAAATTTGCAATTTTAACATCCTTTACAGATCTAAAGTCACTCTGCTATTCTAGGAACGAAAAACCATGCTATAGATACAGTCGACCGCCTACAATCAGAGGTTAAACATTTGCGAGTTTGATTATTCAGATTATTTGCTGCCATTTTTGCTGCTGCTCTATGCCATTTAACTAGGGATATATAAGTCTCGCCTCATGGTCCCAGTGTCTCTGTCCATTTCTATATTGTAAAGGAAGGTGTATTGAATCTATGGATCATTCCGTACATCTTTCGTGTGCTAAACATGGCTGTGGGGTGGGGGCTTACAAAATTTGTGGTTTTTCCAGTTTCATGGGGCTGTTGCCCCTCCCCTTAACTGTCACAAAATGTGAAAGATCAACTCTACTTTGTCATGACATTTTTATGTTTGAGAATTATATATTAATTACATATGTATTATATATGTGGGGATTACATATTAAGTCCCTAGGAGTATTTTTTTTTTTTTTTACAATTAATGCTAGCTTGTTGAATAAGCCACAAATTGAACTTACATCTAATTGAATTCCCAGGTAATAATAATAATAATAATAATAATAATAATAATAATAATAATACATAACACTTTATTTATAACCCCGCCACCATCTCCCAGAGAGACTTGGGGTGGCTTACAAGGTACTCAAGGTGCAGCAAAAATACAAGAAATGCAGAAACAGTGACATAAAACAATAACAGCCAAATTTTATTTTCGTTATTTATTCAGGATGAAATCCTCTTTCACCAAAATCCTTGTGGTTACGTATACTCTGCTAGATAGGAGGGGTGCTAAGACACTCTGCTGGGCAATTACAAAAATTCATAGCAGAATGCTAGAAGGTGTGTCCTGGGACCAATGGAAATTAGTATCTACCCTTCAAAGAGTTTGGAGCAATATTTTTTGCTTCGCAATAACCTTGTGAATTTCAAATCTGATTGAGGAACTGAGATTTGACTCCTCGAATTTCCAAAAGTCTCTTTTTCTGAGTCTACTGGAAAGATATTGCAACTTGTTGGCCAAAACGTTTAACTGTGTCACTGAGGTCCCTTTACGCTGCCATATAAAATCCAGATTATCTGCTTTGAATTGGATCATATGACATTGTGGACTCATATAATTCAGTTCAAAGCAGATAATCTGAATTATATGGCAGTGTAGAAAGAGCCTGAGTTGTGCAGGTTTCCCAGCATCTTGGTGTCACAGCTAAAGAAAACATTAAAAAACAGGAAGCAGCCCAACTCCAGAGCAGAATTACCATATTCATTGAAGTGGGGAGATAATTCCTAAACAGTGATTCACCAAACATTAACAGACACATCTTTCATCATCCATTACTCACAGAATCCATGGTGAAACAGGCTCGGTCCCAATCCAGTGATGCTCCCATCACCTTCAGCTGCTGAAATATTTCATTCCCTTTTCTGATATCAAGGGAAAATAAAAATAAAACAAAATCCATACAATGTATAAATATATAACGACAATCAAGCCGGAAGTATATCTCATTCATTGAGATGTATTAAATCCCCCCCTGTCCTTTCAAGAAAAAGCTTTAAAATGATTTTATTTAGGGTTCACTAGGACATAGAGTCCCTTCTGTATCCATAGACAACATCATGACAGCTATTATGGCCACTGCCTCCACCTTATACTCACTCTTCTTTCCAGTTCCAAACTTCTTGGAGGAACGCCTCTCGCGTGAGGTCTTTCCTCCGGACTCCCTGCTCCTTCCAGATCTTTTTTTCTACCACAACCTGAAAAAAAACGTAAGAGGATGTGAAAAGCAGACCCCACTTGAAGGAAAAGGGAGTAGATCCTTTCTCTCTGTCTCTCTCTCTCTCTCTGCCCTTTTAAAAAAATTTAGGACATACACAACATTTATAATTCCCACCACCAACACGAGGATTATTTTCTTTTACATATTAATCCTTTTTGAGACAATCCTTTTAGATTAACATACTGTATAACATTTGTATCCTATTTCTTATGACCTAATCTCTAGACTTATTCATAAAACAATTCTTGACCTGGTTCAAATTTTCTTCAACTTCTCGTATTTTATTTTCATTACCTTTTGAATCATTTAATTTTACATCCATAATTTCAAATTCCATTTGATCCACCATATACTGATACCATTTATTTACTGTCCACTTTGATTTGTCTTCCCATCCCAATACTATCACTGCTTGTGTGCACTCAGTTATTGCTTCTTTTATTTCCCTGTAATTTCTCATTCCCTCTCTTTGGACTAAGACCGCCATTTCTTTTGTTATCACCCAATCGATTCCTAATATTTGGTTGGATACATTTTGTATAGTCTGCCAGAAGTATTGTACCTGTTCACATTTCCACATCATGTGCATAAACCCCCCTTCCTGTTGGCATCCTTGCCAACACTGACTGCTCCCCTTTTTATAATAGTACACTAATTGACAGTAGGTACAACCCACACGATCTCTTCGATCATCTGGAGAGGCCCTGCTCAGCTCCCACCTCTTTCGCAGGCGCAATTGGTGGGGACGAGGGAGAGGGCCTTCTCAGTGGTGGCCCCTCGACTCTGGAACTCACTTCCCAAGGACATCAGACATGCCCCAACTCTGGCAGTCTTTAGGAGGAGCCTGAAAATGTGGTTGTTCCAGTGTGCCTTCCCAGAATAAGGAAAACTCTCAGCAATATGCCCTCAAAATGCACTTTACCATTGATTTAGGACTGATTGCGTTCCTTCCTCTCTCCTTGAAAATTCTATCCCAGTTATATCCTACCTTGTTCATGTCCAGCATTATTTTTAATTTTAATCTATTACATTTGGCCTGGACATTGGTTTTAAATGCTTGTGTGTTACTGTTGATTTATTGTTTATTTTTGTTATGTGATTTATATTAATTGTATTGCTTTGATTGTTTTCTTATTGCTTTGTTTATTGATGTACTGTGGGCTTGGCCTCATGTAAGCCGCACCGAGTCCCTTGGGGAGATGGTAGCGGGGTACAAATAAATTATTATTATTATTATTATTATTATTATTATTATTATTATTATTACAATACCACTTATGCAATATTTTCCTCCTCATTTTTCTTACTTTTGTATTGCTTGTCATCCCTATTGTCTCTACCACTTATCAGACCTGAACAACCAGGTATGATTACTTGTTCTCACCTGAGTGGCAATTCCAGCGTGATCTGAACCTGGAACCCACAGAACTTTATAGCCTTGCATCCTTTTCCTAGAAGACATCAATAACCAAATGCATACACACACAAAACAGAACTCATTAGCAGAGACATGGAAATGTATTCTTTTATTCAAAACACACAGAAAGAATTTGAGCTTCAGATTCATTTTTTACATTAAGATTTCAATACTTTCTCCTCTGCTTTATGAACTGGGTTGTGAGATCTTCAAGGCCAAAGATCCCACACACTTTGTAACACAGACAAGGAATGTGTTGCCCTCTAGATGTTGCTGGAAAGCCATTCCCATCAGCCCTAGATTGCTTAGCCAGTTGTAAAGAATGAGAAAAACTGAAGTGAGAAATATGCAGAGTTTTTAAATTCTACTAACAGGATATGTGTGCTGTAATCTCTCCACTGTGAGGGCTTGACGGCTGTTAATCTAAGCAAAAATACACCAGTGACAAAAATGAAACTATGTGACACCCATCATTCTTAGAAGGCAAAGAGCCCATAACCATTTCCCAAGCTCTCTAGAACTTGACTTACCACCGTACCAAAGCATCTTCAATAGCCACAGTCAAAGCATGACCCAGGTGCAGAGACCCTGTGACGTTAGGTGGAGGAATAGAGAGAGAAAATGTTTCTGGCTTCCGATTCGGCAAATGATGCTGTTAAAAGAAAGAGAATGAGATCAGCATTGGCTGAAGTCAGAACAACCCTCACTAGACAATGAACTTTCTGGGCTCCAGGGATGGGATTATTAAAGCCCCTTCTATACTCCAATATACAATCCAGATTATTTATACAGATATCAGATTGGCCCCCTCCTTATTGGCATTTCGGAGGAAAGTGAAGACCTGGTTGTTCGAACAGGCATTCGATTAGGCAGTGTAATTGATTACAGGAACACGGAATAACGGATGATGAGATTGGATTCTGATTCTACTCACGAGACGCGAATGATTTATCATATTGATGTTTAATTGTTGTTATGCTATTGTTTTTAAATGTTCTAATGGTTTTGTAATGTGTGCATTGAAATTGCTGCTGTTAACCGCTTTGAGTCACCTAAGGGCTGAGAAAAGCAGTATATAAATGAAGTAAATAAATAAATAAATAAATGAACTCCTGTTACATGGCAGTGTAGACTCATATACTCCAGTTGAAAGCAGATAATGAGGATTAACTAATTTGATAATCTGGATTATATGGCAGTTTAGAAGGTGCCTATTTGTCATGAGAATATAAAAAACCAACCAGATGTTTTGTGGGAAATCAAGAAACAGAGCATAAAGCCAATAGCATCCTTCTGCTACAGATTTAGTTTCTCTTATCTAAAATGCTTTGGACCAGTGATTTTTTAAATTATTTTGTTTTGTTTTTTAAAAAACTGTACTTGTATATGCATAGTGAATGATGGGTGGGGGAAGGGGGCTAATTACACATCCAGCCCTCACTGAGCTTTTATCAAGAAGCTATTGTTTCACCACAGTAGAACCTTGACAGATAAAAGGAAGTCGAGAGGACTCTGGATTCTGCTACTACACTTACACAAAGTCCTTGTAAGAAGCAGACATCAAGGAAGGCAAAGTCTAAATGAATCTGGCTCCTACAGATTCAGGGGATGTTGCAAAGCCCCAGATGGCCAGGCAATCCAGTCCACTCTTGCCCCATTTCCAGGGCACCCATCCCACAGTTAGCCAGGTAGAAGGAAACATAGCATCACTTCCCAGATAGTTGGAGCTTTGCAACATTTCCTGAGCTGCAGAAGCTGGATGCATTTGAAAGTATCCCTCCCCTGGCACCTGTTTTTTTTTTAAACAGGGATTTGTTTAAGTCCAACAGTAGAATCCAGAGTCCTCACCCTTCTCTTTCCTCCATCAAATGTCAAACTGTTGTGTCGCACACACACTACTTAATACAAGAATTTAGTAACTACAGCAGGCAGCTGCTAGGAATTGTGGGAGTTGAAGTTCAAAACACCTGGAGGGCTGAAGTTTGCCCATGCCTGAACTACAACAACCTCATCCATCCTCTGTTTAAATGCCTCCGGCAAATGAAAGCCTGCCAACTCCCGAGCCCTTCTTTCCACTGTCCTACAAAATCTAAGCATTACAGTAAAGATGGATATGTAATCATCTCTTGTTGGACTTTAATTCCCATCAATCCTTGCCATCATAGTCAATGGTAAGAGTGTCACCTATTCCAAAACCTATAGTGAGGGGGCCAAATATTGTCCTGATTTGTTTTGTCCAACTCATGCTTCATCTTCCGACTCAGTATTCATCCTTCTGTTGGTTCAAAGGAGAACATTCCCCTCTCATTTATTCATGAGGATGCTTTTCTAATACAATTAGATCACAGAAACAAATTTCTACCTGGTATTCTGGTTTGAAAAATCCTTCTTTCACCCACCAAACATACCAAGCAGCTTCAACATAGCATGGGCTATAGGAGATGGGCAGAGGCCCCGAAGTGTCTGTGGAGGGAAATGCAATCAATACAAAGACTCCATCATTACAACAAGCATTTGCACACACTTAAAATTTGTACAGATCTGGGTTTGTTATTGTATATCTTCAAGAACTTCCTGACTTATGGTGGCCCTAAGTCAAACCTCTCCTTACCTTTCTTTTCACCAGCTATGGTTGGGATGTCATACAGAGCCATGTCTCTTGCTCTTCTGCCCTTTCCTTGGCTTGGATGCTCATCCTGTGAAGAATAAAAACAGACATGAAAGAAAACTCCTGCCCTGTGTTTGAGAGACCTGTGCATTGTTCAAAGCTGATCTCATGACAAATAACTAAAAATAAATAAAATCATGTTGACAAGCCACTGTGCATGGCAGCTCTGAGGGTATATAATAATAATAATAAAACTTTATTTGTACCCCGCTACCATCTCCCAAGGGACTCGGTGCGGCTTACATGAGGCTGAGCCCAAAGACAACAATGCAAGCAATAATAACAATAATGCAAGCAATTAAAATAAAACATGGACAATAAAATAACGAAACATAACAATAAGACAACACACAATTAAAACCAAGGGAAGGCCAAATGTAGAATTAAAATTGAGAATAATGCTGGAACATGGGTGAAAGAGTAATGGGGCATTTGTGGAAAACATACGAGCAGACCTAAAACAATGTAAAGTGCTTTGGAGGACAAAGTGCTATGGAATCATTATTCTGGGAAGGCACACTGGAACAACCACGTCTTCAAGCTCCTCCTAAAGACTGCCAGAGTTGGGGCATGCCTGATGTCCTTAGGAAGTGAGTTCCAGAGTCGAAGGGCCACCACCAAAAAGGCCCTCTCTCATCCCCACCAATCGCGCCTGTGATGCAGGTGGGATCGCAAGCAGGGCCTCTCCAGATGATCGAAGAGATCGCGTGGCGGATTGGTCAGAGTGGAAGAGCAAAACATCCTTCCATCTACACTTCAGAATTAATGCAGTTTCATACTCCTTTATCTGCCAGGGCTCATGGGAGTTATAGAGTCACACAGTCCTTAGCCTTCTCTAAGGATGCTGGTGCTTTACCAAATAACAACTCCAATGATTCCACAGCACTAAGTCATGGCACTTCAAGTGGTGTCAAAATGCATTAATTTTACAGTGTAGATGAACCCTGAGAGACAGGTAGAATAAGAATCAGATGCTTACGTACATTTTCATTCTCTGTTATTTTTAAACTTAATTGGATTTGTCCACAATGAGTAGTTGGGCACCACAACCTGCTTCACTCACCTTCATCCCAGCAGTCAGCCCAGCTTCAATGGATGCCAGCCTCTCCCGCTGCCGCTTCTGTTTCTCTGCCCTATTTTTCAAATGGGTCGTTTTCCCCACTTGGCCATGAGGTTCATGCTTGTTGGCTTGGGAGTAATTTCTCCAGTTGGCAGGAGCATCCCAATGCCTCTTGCGAAGCCGAAGAAGCAGACGGCAGACAGAACACATATTTCGGCCAGGATTAAGTGATGGTGATGGCATGCTTGGAAGTGGCAGCTTTCAATTGTTGCAAAATCTTTTCTTCGCTAATAAAACAAACCAGAAATTACTATTTGAGTAGGGGAAATCTAACAGGTCAAATTCACCAGCCATGCTGGTGGGGGGGGGGGGGGGGGGGGGATTTTATATTAAAAGCACCTGTGCCCCTGTTCAGAAGCTGAGACAGTGTGTGTTCCTCAAGAACCCCCAGTGCATTTCTATGGTTGAACAAGGATTCAAACTCTGGTATTGCAGAGAATAAAGGTGCATGTACATTGCAGAAATAACGTAGTCTGACAACACTTTAATTAAAACTTATCATTCTTATTAATATTGTATATTTTTGGATTATGTGATTTTAATTTTTATACTAGGATGATTTTAATGCTTTGTCTGAATGTTTAGATTTTGTTTATGTCTGATGTTTAATGGTTTTAATGATTTTAAGTGAACGTTATATGTAGTAATTAGTTATTATGATTTCTTTGTGTTACTGTATGTTGGCATTGAATTTTTGCTATTAATATGTTATAAACTGCCTTGATTCTCCCCAGGGGTGAAAAAGGAGGAATAGCAATACAGTAAATAACTAAATAATTATTATACTATGCAGGCCCGTAGCCAGGATTTCGTTTCGGGGGGGGTGGAATTTTTTTCAGGGTTTTTTTTGGGGGGGGCTGAGTTTCGGGGGGGCTGAGTCTGAGTGAAAGAGGGTCTACCCTAGCAAACCTTTTGTATCATTACCCCAATACCCCCATGCATATGGGATATATTGAGTATGGTGATCAGATCATGATATGAATAAACATAACAGTTTAAATACTGCACCAGTAAGGCCTTTTCGCGAACCACCATGAGAATTTCGGGGGGAGGGGGGGCTGAAGCCCCCCCGAGCCCCCCCCCCCCCAGCTCCATACCTGATACTATATAACAAAATTTGGGGGGGGGCTCTCTTCCTTGTTACTTATACAGATTCCTTAGGAGAGAGACAAGGTGATTTGGTATGCCAATCCCACCAAGAACTTGCCACAATTTATTATGATCCACACAGTCAAAGGCTTTAGAATAGTCAATAAAACAGAAATAGATGTTTTTCTGAAACTCCCTTCCTTTCTCCATTATCCAGCGGATATTGGCAATTTGGTCTCTCTTTCCTCTGCCTTTTCTAAACCCAGCTTGTACATCTGGCAACTCTCGCTCCATGTATTACTGGAGTCTTCCTTGCAGGATCTTGAGCATTACCTTACTGGCATGACTCCAGCAATATATATACAAAACTATAAACTGCACGAAAGCATTAACTGAAATATAAATGCAAGGTTTAAGAATAGACTTTATAAAGAGGATTAAATCAGACTGACCCTCAGAGGGGGAGGCTGCAAGCAGGAGAAAGCAGGCTGGCGGCCAAAAAGAGCATCCACACTGTAGAATTAACGCAGTTTGACACCCCTTTATACTGTCAGGGATGGAGGCTATGGAAAGCTAGGGTGTTGTAGCTTTACAAGGCCTTCTCTGCCAAAGAGAGCCGGTGCCTGGCCAATCTACACATCCTAGGTTTCTATAGCTATGCGCAAAGGCAGTCCAAGTGGCGCCAAATTCCATTCATTCCGCAGTGGATAGTAAACACACCCCTCCATCAGACCCCATGGAAGAAGAGGCTTGTGCGGCTTCTCTGTGGTCGCTTCCGGGTGAGGTGCATGATGGGAAATGAGGCGGGCTGGACCGGAAGAGCCAGGCAGAGAGGAAGAGGAGCAGAGGGGTAGAGCCTCGCCTGGAGCATCCTTCCTGAGGGTGAGGCTGAAGGCCAAGGATGGGGAAAGGGAGACTCAAAGAGGCACTAAAGCAGGCCTGGGCCAACTTGGGCCCTCCAGGTGTTTTGACTTCAACTCCCACAATTCCTACAGCCTGGCTGTTAGGAATTGTGGGAGTTGAAGTCCAAACACCTGGAGGGACCAAGTTGGCCCAGGCCTGCTTTAAATGCATCTAACTATCTTTCATCTTTTGTTGCCACACCAGAGATGTCCTAGCCACAAACTGGACTTTTTAGCATGGAGTCGGTGATGAAGCTCCAGAAGGTGCACTTGAAATGCAAGAACCTGCACGAATTCCTGCGAGGCCTCAGTCCTGGGGTCTTGGATCGTCTCTACAATCACCCCGCTACTTGCCTGGCTGTCTTCCGGTGAGTGTGAAGCCCCCATGCTTCCTCTTATCTGAGTGCTGCTCTTTCACTGGTCTGAGACATATTTTATTTATTTGTCGTGTCAGGACAACCAGTCAAATTATATTACATTTCTAACAGAACAAAGCAAACAAACAGACAAAATACAAAATTTGTGAGTTTGGTAGTTGATTAAATGTCCTTTGACCAGTATCTAGCCACTTGGAGTGCTTCTGGTCTGAGACATAAAAACTCAGCTATGCTTCATTAAAAAATATAGCCTTTCTGATTCACAGATTTTTGTAGCACTAAAGCTATTTTTTGTAGCACTAATTTAGTGAAGCTGTCAAAGGCTCCTCCCTAAACTACAAACCCTAGAATTCTGCAGGAGGTAGAAACCGAATTTTAAATGGATTTTAATTGTCTGTATATTGTTTATACAAAGCGGCATTGAATGTTTGCTGTGCATGTGTACTGTGATCCACCCTGAGTCCCCTTTGGGGTGAGAAGGATGGAATATAAATATTGTATTATTATTATTATTATTATTATTATTATTATTATTATTATTATTTCAAACTTGGCTCTTGGAGCAAGCATTCGGAACCAGACAACAGACAAACAGACAAACCAGAGTTGGAAATTGACCCAGGAACGGCCAAGACAATGTAACGGATGAAGATTTAAATGAGAGGATATCGTCTCCTTTTAAATTGTTTATTATGCACTGTCGTTTATATTTAATTGTACTTGATGTTTTTGCTTTATCAATGTGTGTATTTTGTTTCGGCATTGAATTGTGCCGACTGTGTATACCGCCCTGAGTCGCCTTCGGGCTGAAATGGGCAGGATAGAAATAATGTAAATAATGTAAATAAATAAATTCAAACACAACAAGATGAGTCCACAGCAGACAAGATCACTCTGCTGGCTGTTGTATTGGATCACACATCGGACACTTCCCAAGTGTCTAGGACTGTGTGATGTATCGGCAAATAATGCATGCAGATCCCAGTAAGGTGGCCTTCTGCAGCTGGCAGATGGTAATTTTGTCAGCACCAATTGTGTTTAAGTGCAGGCCAAGGTCTTTAGGCACTGCACCCAGTGTGCCGATCACCACTGGGACCACCTTTACTGGCTTGTGCCAGAGTCTTTGCAGTTCGATCTTTAAATCCTCATATTGTGTTAGCTTTTCCAGTTGTTTCTCTGCAATCCTGCTGTCACCTGGGATTGCAACATCAATGATCCATACTTTGTTTTTTAACACGATCGTGAGGTAAGGAGTATTAGGCTCCAAAACTCTGTCTATCTGAATTCGGAAGTCCCAGAGGAGTTTGACATGTTCATTTTCATTATTATTATTATTATTATTATTATTATTATTATTTTCTCCAGTGTGATGAGGCCTTTTGCATGCATCTACTCTGGCATTATAGTTTTGCAAAGAATTTAACCTCCTCTTCCAAAGAGTGCTGATGTCTCATTGAACTACAACTCCCAAGATTCCATAGCATTGAGCCATGGTAGTTAAAGGGAATTCAAACTACATTAATGGTACAGTGTATCAGTGTTTTCCAAACTCTGGTCTTCCAGGGCCCCATCCACACAGCTGAATAAAATCCTGCATTATCTGCTTTCAACTGGAATATATGGCAGTGTGGACTCTGATAACCCATTTCAAAGCATATATTGTGGGATTTTCTGCCTTGATATTCTGGGTTATATGGCTGCACGGAAGGGCCCTAGGTGTTTTGGACCTCAGCTCCCAGAATCCCTGGATCATTGCCCAATTATTATTATTATATTTATTTATACTCAAAGTGGCTTATAAAAGCATCAGAATACAATGTAAAATATGCAAACATTAAAACAGGATTAAATATAAACAGTATTTAACAATTCCCAGTTAAAAACTATTGAAGCAGTGCGGCTGAGGTTTCTGGCAATTGGGGTCAAAAGCTCTTGGAAGACTAGAGTTTGGAAATTACTATTTGCACGTTAATTTCCCACTATAGCTCTAAGTTCTTTCCATTGACTCGGAATTGTTAACGGAAATGGGAAATTGCATATCTTCAAATTAAGTGGCCATGGTTTTGAATATTGTTTTTTTTGCTCTAGTTGGCAGCAGTCATGCCAGGAGTAAAATACTACAGGAGTAACTTTATCTATCTCGCTTTAAAGGTAGGAGAACTGAGGTTGGATCTATACTGCCATATAAAATCCAGATTATCTGCTCTGAACTGGATTATATGGCCGTGTAGACTCAGATAATCCAGTTCAAAGCAGAGAATGTAGATTCTATGGCAGTATAGAAGAGGCCTGAGTGTAAACTAATGTTTATTTATTTATTTCATACATTTCTATCCCTCCCTTCTCCCCACAATGGAACTCAGAGCGGCCTCACATCGGCATCAACGATGCTTACAAAATATACATCAAAGAATACAATAAAACAGTAAAACAGTAAAATCATCTTTAAAAAATCAACCACATAGGAAAGTCTTTGATTTTATATTTTCAGAGAGCTGCCAGGCTTGGCCAAGAACTATGTTATGCGGATGCTGCTTTTGGAACAGCCTCTTCCTCAGGCAGCTGTGGCATCATGGGTAAAGAAGGAATACACAAAGTAAGTTATTCCGGTTTCTAATTTTTTTCTATCTCAAAGGCTTACTCTGCGGGACAAAATATTGAAACTGCAGCCAATAACAGTTAATGTTAAGACCTGGATCTGATTACTGCTTTCAAATAAAGTAAACCCATTAGATTTATGGGATTTATGCAAGCAGTTCATCAAGCTTGGTAGTGATGGTTGTTGAAAACTAGTCTAACCAAGGTATAATTCTGTATAGAATAGGAATTCTGGAAGTTTTAAATTTGAAACACTGATACATCTTTAAGGGGAAAGTGTTCCAAAATTGTGGGAAAATTACTGGAGATGTGTCTCTTTGTTGAACCAGTCTTACAGTAAAGATGCTTTCCCTAATATTTAGGCGGTATCTCTTGGCTTGTAAGCCTCCAAAATGTACAATGCATCTAGGAATTTTTGGTGGTCCAGACAAGATGCACATACATTTATTATCTCTAGTATCCTGATCCGTTCCAGATATTTGTCTTGTGAGCCACTTCTTCCTTCTGACTGCGATTACTTAGTTTGTCACTTGTTCTTTTGTCCCAGGGAACAGGAAGAAAGCTCAGATATCTTGCTGGGTCTGCGGCTGTGGCACAAGCAGTTGCTTCCAGGGGGTCTCCAAGGAATCGTCTTGAACCCTATCTTCAAGGAAAACTTGCGCATTGCCCTGATGGGAGGGTGAGAGCCAAAAGGACAATTTTGGTCTGAGGAATCAAGACAGAGGCTCAAAATAGAGTTTGCTTTAACTCTAGCTTAGCTGTAATATTGTAACATTGCTGTCAAAACATGGTTGTTTATTTCAGCTTATCCAAGTTCATACAAGTGCAAAGTTTTCACCAGTTTTGATCTGTCTTTTTAAAGTTGTAAAATGGTGTGGTAGCCTTTTAAAATCATTTTCATTATTTCAATGCATTAAGTAGATTTTATTGTATGTTGTCTTGAGATTTTTAGATGGTTGGGTAACTAAGGTTGACATTGGCTCAAATGTGGTTGCAGCTATCCTGTGTTTTCTGTTTCTTGTCCTTTTTCTCCAGTGGTAAGCCGTGGTCTGATGACACTAGCCAATTAGGACCAGACAAGCATGCCCGGGATGTCCCATCTCTAGACAAATATGCTGAAGAAAGGTGGGAGGTAAGCTTTGTGTGTGTTTGTCTTAGTTTTCTGGCAATTAAGGCTGTGTATCACTATGTTGATTTCTAACAACATTTGAAACATAAATTCAACATGTTTCTTCATCTGTCTATCTAGTACTTGGTGTAGGATGTAATGAACTCATACCTTTGCTTAGTAGGCCGCAGCCTGGAAGTCAGTGAGCTGGCCTCCATGTTGGGAAAGCAGCTCAGGATGGCTGACATGTTGATGTAGGCAGAGAGGCAAGGGGAGGAGTCAGCCAACCCCTGATTAGTTCAGCCCCCAAGGGGAGGAGTTGAAGGAGAGGGAAAAAGAGGCTGTCATTTCTGACAGGAGAGTGACAGAGGGGGAGAGAAGGATTTGATCTAGGAGAGATAGGATTAGGATTTCAGACAGGGAGAAGAGAGTTTCTGAGTGAGCTAGGAATTAGACTGTTAGGGAATAATAAGAGCAAGGGCTTCTGTGTAGTTTGACTAGGGCAGTCAAAGTGAAGACTTGTTTACTTGTATTAGGACAGAATACAAGTGGATTTATTTCCCTAAAGTTT